AAAATGGGTTTACCAAAGTCTTAGGTTCACAAATGTAGTGAAATGTATGAATACAATAATAAATAAATGTTACTTTCATCGCTACTTTCCAAAACTGCTGCAGTAACTTCAGCAGCTATAAACTCTCTGCACGCCATTGCACGTGTCTCTGATGTGGACTGAATGAAGGATGAAGGGTTTCCTGCGTTATGGGTCAGTCCATAGTGATTTCCTGAGTGTCCATTGGTCAGTTTCACACAAAATGTAGACAAACACATGAATCCACCAGTTCCACACTGTGAGAGGCAGATGATGTGCATCTCTGCCCCTCTTCATAGCCTCATAACTCTGGATGTGAGTCACGTACGATTTTATGATAAGATGGAATGGAAAGGGCGACTCTATAGATTCAGATTTCTGCGCTGTATTATTGCAAAGATACTAACAGGATTTAACAGAAAGACAGACTAATTGGATGTCCCGACACATTCGGTAACCCCAGAGGGTTAAAATGCAACTCAGTGCTTCACTAAGCCAAAATCACAGTATATACCTTCCTTAATGATGATGTTACCTGTTTCATGCTGGCGATGTAGCGTGTGATGTATTCAATTGTTACAGGATCCTCCACTGTCAGCCTGTGGCTCTGACACTCCACCCTCGCTCTGTTTATAAGAATCCTCGCATCTGCGGTCAAACCTGTTCATCAGAAAAACAACTCTTTATACCAGCATCTTCTAAGCACACTCCTACAGACACACCAACACAGTCTGTAATTATTAACCTACACAGTGGACCCACGAGGAAGGTGTTTCTAATAAAGTGGCCAGTAAGTGGGAGCACAAGGTAGGCGTTTCTGATAAAGTGGCCACTTAGTGGAAGCACAAGGTAGTGTTTCTAATAAAGTGTCCAGTCAGTGTATGCACAGGATAGGTGTTTCTAATAAAGTGGCCAGTTAGTGGAAGCACAAGGTGGGTGCTTCTATGTATATGGCAGTAAGATGTGCATAGAACAATATAAGCTATATAAGGTGTAGTGAGGTGGTCTGGTCTTCAGGGATGTCCATGAAGCCCTTCAGTTCTGGAGGCCTACTTTACTCTTCAGTAGGCTATACATAACATCCCTGTATGCCATTACCAGTAAGAAGAGGTTCAAAATAGATAGCCTACCTGCAAATGCCATGAAAACATTATCATCCAGAGAGCAGATCTTCCTTACGGTCCTGTCATCTTGAAGCATGGCCGCAGATTTCTTCTCAACTCCGAGGACAACAATGTTTTTGCCTCTGACTCCAACCTGTAGGTCAATCAGAGAGCCAATCAGCTCCAGCTACTAAATTTACCATTACTAAACAGGAGCGTAAATCTCTGACCTCATGACTCCACTGGATTACCTATAGGCAAAGAAAATATATTTCTATATATTTCTAAAAATACACTTTATGGCCAAAAGTATATGGACAACTGACTATCATACCTATATGAGCTTGGTGGACATCCCATTCTAAAACTACAGGCATTAATATTGAGTCGCCCCCCTTTGCAGCTATAACAGCTTCCACTCTTCTGGGAAGTTTTCCACAAGATTTTGGAGTGTGTCTAGGGGAATTTGTGTCCATTCATTCAGAAGAGCATTTGTGAGGTCAGACACTGATGTTAGACTCAATTTCCATTGTAGATCATCCCAAAAGTGTTCAGTGGGGTTGAGGTCAGGGCTCTGTGCAGGCCACTGGAGTTCCTCCACACCAAACTCATCAAACCATGTCTTTATGGATCTCGCTTTGTGCACAGGGACTCAGTCATGCTGGAACAGGAAAGGCTCCTTCCCAAACTGCTGACACAAAGCTGGATGTATGTAATTGACTAAAATGTCTTTGTATGTCTTCGTATACTGTATACTTTAATATTACCCTTCACTGAAACGAAGGGACCCTGAAAAACAGCCCCAGCTCATTATCCCTCCTCCACCAAACTTTACTGTTAGCACTACGCATTCTGGTAGGTAGTGTTCTTCTGGCATTCACCAAACCCAGATTCATCCATCACACTGCCAGATAGAGAAGCGTGATTCACTGCTCCAGAGTCCAGTGGTGGCATGCTTTACACCACGCCAGCAGATGCTTGGCACTGCACATAGGCTTGTGTGCAGCTACTCAACCATGGAAACCCATTTCATGAAGCTCCCAAAGCACAGTTTTTGTGCTGATGTTGCTTCCAGAGGCAGTTTTGAACTCTGTACTTGGTGATGCAAAAGAGGATTTTACACACTATGTGCTTCAGCACTTGGTAGCCCCGCTCTGTGAGTTTGCATGGTCTAGCTCTTCATGGCTAAGCAGTTGTTGCTCCTAGACGCTTCCATTTCCCAATCATAGCACTTACAGTTGACTGGGGCAGCTCTAGTTGGGCAAAAAGTTTGTAGCAAAAATGGCATCCCATGACAGTGTCACGTTTAAAGTCACTGAGCTCCTCAGTACAACCCATTCTACTGCCAGTGTTTGTCTATGGAGATTGCAAGACTGCGTGCTTGATTTTACACACCTGTTAGCAATGGGTGTGACAAACACTTGAACTCAATAAATAGGAGGGAATGTCCACATACTTTCGACTGACCATACAGTGTATGCACACATATTGGCACACATTTAAATATGCAAACATGGCACAGTTAATGTAATTAGCACATATATGTTAAAACATCACATATGTTTTTCATATGAGCACATGTCCATATTGGTTCATTCTTAGAGAAATGATTCAGTGCAATGATTCGATTTGATTATTTTGGTACAATTCCGAATAAAAATAAATTAAAAAATACACTGACTACAGGAACTGTTTACAAAGCAGAATATAGGCTATAAAAGCAGTTCACCACACAAACAAAACCCGAGTGTTATGGTGGATATAATCAATAATCAATAAGAATCGATTCTGCAGTTCAGCTGAATCTCCACCTTCAGACTGATTCATTTTCACATCCTTACTGAACACTGGAGCTGTAATATCTTCTGCGTGGTTTTGGGCAAAATGGCTTTGTTGGCTCTTTGCTACTCACTGCAGTGGAGCCTTTCTTCACCGCCTCCTGCGCATATTCCACCTGGAACAGGTGTCCGTCCGGAGAGAAGACGGTGATGGCTCTGTCGTAGCTCATCCTCTGCTCTGCTGTTGTCCTCTGTCCTCCGACTTGTTCACTTTAGGATGTATTTTGTTTATTTGCTGTTGCTGTTTAAGTGCTGAGGTCCGTTTACTGCCCACTGCAAGAAGTAAAAGTGAAACTGATTTGACTGAATGAAACAGCAAATTTTTCAGCGCCTCCTTCCGGCACCCAGACGCAACTGCAGGCAAGCCACGCCCCCTGCGCTGTGATTGGATGAAACAGTGTCGTCAAAACAAGGTTGCAACTGCAAACGTTTACAAGATGGCAACAAACAGTAACTGGTAACTTGTATATAAACTCACAAAAATCAGCCATTGTCAAATACCTGTTTATAATTTAAACGTGAGGATAAATTAATAGCATATATATGAATTATATGACATTATATTAATAGATTAATATTACTTATTTCAGCTTAATTTCCAAATAAACGTTTTGGCTGGTTGGCTAGTACCTATTTATCACTCTTTCCCTAACAAGGGAATAGGGAACAAGTGAACATTGCATCTCTACAGTGAGCATTGTTGCTCAAACGTAGTCTATCTACAGTGTAAATAGTATAACACACTTAAAAATATGGTGCTTCAGGGATTCTTTAGTAAAAGAAATGGTTCTGTTTAGAACCATGAGTTCCATGTAGAACCATTTCATGCTTAAATGGTTAATTGCATGGTGAAATCGTTATTCAGACTGATGGAGAATGTGTTGGGTATGGTTCTATGTAGAACCTTTTTGAAAATGGCTTTATATAGCACCAAAAAGAGTTCTGCTGTTCTAAACTCAAATGGCAAATTTGGCCAGGTCTGCCCTGCAGTGATCTTGTAATATGTTGAGTAAACTACACTCTGAAAAGATGGTGCTTTAGTACAGACAATGGCACTATATAGAACCACGAACATTCAAAGAACCATTTGCATGATTAAATCATTCTTCAAATTGATGAAGAATGTGTTGTATAAGGTTCTATATACACTCTTAAAAAGAGTGGTTCTTCAAGGGTTCTTTAGTAAAAAAAAATGGTTCTATATAGAACTGTGAACACTCAAATGACCCTGTGCATGATTAAAAGCTTCTTTGCACTGTGAAATGGTTCTTCAAATTGGTAAAGAATGTACTGTAGATGGTTCTATATAGAACCTTTTTGAAAAGCGTTCTGCTATCGTTAAATTACAAGCTTGTTGGAAGAACCCTTTTCAAAAAACTTCTATATAGAACCATCTACAGCACTTTCTTCATCAATCTGAAGAACTATTTTATGACGGAAAGAACCCTTTCATCATGCAATGGGTTCTTTGAATGTTCTGTATGGAACCATTTTATGTACCAAAGAACCCTTAGAGAATCATATTTGTAGTGTAGGGAACAAATTAGACCTCTCTGAATTAAGATAGGCAGAATTATTTCTCCAATTTATTGAATAAATGAGAATTATTCATCCTAAGTAGGAAATAAGTAACATTATTTCTCTAAAAGTAGAGAATATGTGACAATTTCTCCAATAGTAGGGAATATATGAGAACTATTCGTCCTAAGTAGTGAATAAGTGTCGTTATTTCTCTAAAAGTAGGGAAAACGTAAGTGATATTTGGACGCAGCCCGGCTGGCTTGCTTTTGGCGCATGCGCAGTGTGCAGTAAATCTCCGTTGAGTGGACTGTACCAAAAGCAGGTGTTTGTTTTATTTACCCCGGGGGCAAATTCAGCACCTGCTCACCTGACACAAACACCACCTCCTCCTAAAGTCCTGTATCGATCTCTTTTACTGTCTCCCGCGCTTTTTGAACGTGTAGATGTTCGTGTTGTTGTGTATTTATTGTAAAAGACACACAGACGCTCCCCCTATTTTTTCCGTTTAGCACAACGAGAGTCCTGAGCAGGCTGCTGTGTGAGAAGAGCGTGAAAAGAAGATAATAAATATTGGGAATAAAATCATTCTCGTGCATGTATATTTATATTTCTACGGTATAAAAGGAGATGTCGGTCACATTTTCGTCCACACGGCCGAGGGGGAAAGGGGAGGTGACCCAGCAGACCATCCAGAAGGTAGGCTTGGAGGTGCTGGAGGAGGGATGCTGGTGCTGATGGTGGGAAAGTGCAGGAGTGAGATGATGATGATGATGATGGTGATGATGATGGTGATGATGATGATGGTGGCAACTGTTCCATCCACACTGATGCAAACAAAACAGGGGCACCTGCTCTTTTTTTGCAATGTGTCCATCCTCAGTGGTCTAGCCACTGATTTTGTGTTAATCAATGCCATTTCTGCGCGTGCTGATCGAGCTGTCATGTGCTTCATGCGTTACTGCAGTTGAGAAGCCATTTGTCACTGCATTCTCTGATTGTTGATGTATTTTAAATGCATACTTACTGAAATGCTGACTGAGTGATAAGCTAAGATTATGCTAATAAGGCTTTTTGTGTGCATTAATAAAGCTTTGATGTTGGTGAACATTTGTGTTTGCTATCTAGATCTTTGTAGGACTGATATGCTGCTGTTATTTCAGTGTCATTTCAAGGCAACATTATTTATTGGTCCCCTAATGGAAATTAGAGGCAGGTAGAGTGGGAAAAATGTATGTATATGTGGGAAAAATGTATATATATATATATATATATATATATATATATATATTATATATATTAGATAATGATGACCTATGTAAACGCAAAATGCTATTTTTTCATGGTGATTTCATGATTTCATTTACTGAAGGAAAAATGCTCTGTTTAGCCCTACCTGGGCTTGTGTGAAAAAGTAATTGCCCCCTTCGCTACTAAATCAACCAGTTAACCGAATTCAATTGACTATTGTTGACTATTGGGTTCAATTTCAATGGCCACACCCAGTAAAATACTCAAGAGACTCAAGACTCAAGTTATAGCAAACATTTGGCTGCAGTTGCCAAAGCCAAGGGTGGCACAACCAGGTATGAGGTCTTTAAGTTCAAGTTCAAGAGGCTTTATTGTCATTTCAGGTATATACAGGTACACAGTGAAACAAAACAGCATTCCTCCAGGGCCATGATGCAACACTGGAACACAAGTGCAAAACAGTGCAATGTACATAGTGCAGACAATGCAGTGCAATAAATACGAAAGACTTAATAAATACATAAACACAGGCAGTACACGGTACTGAGAATATGTAGATTGCACAAAGCAAGATGTAACATACTATGACATATTAGCAGATAGTTTAGCATATTTGAGCATAGCAGCCACTGAGGTAGCAACCAGAACAGCAGTAACGGAATACAGTATTTGGTTGACCAGATATATTATTTATATTATGTAAAGTATTTTAGTGTGAAATGCAATAATTCAATGATGGTTTAGGGGGGCAATTACTTTTTCACATGGATGATATAGGATTTGAATAAATCTTTATTGTCAATAAATGGAATGATCATTTAAAAGCTGCATTTTGTGTTTCCTCGTGTTGTCTTTATCTGAAATATTTAAATGTGATAAATTAGCCAAAGTAGAAGAAATCGGCTCAGGGGCAAATACTTTTTCACAGCACTGTATGTAGTTTAGCGTCTGTGTAGAGTAAGACACAGGGTAGCCCATGATTTCCATGAATAAATGCAGTTGAAGTTATGATATTAAACACTATTAGAAGGAACACTGTCACAATAACATTACTGTGATGTTTAAAGGGAATTTCCACCCATTTTTCGGTGGTTAAAATGTAAACAGTTGTTCAGAGTGGTTTGGTGTGAGATGATCTGTTCTAGAGTCAGAGTTGCACACAGTGGTGGTGATAGGAACCAGACGTCCACCTCTAAAATCTCCCTCACAGAAAGTTATTAAGTGAAATGGTTATAAATACACTGACTGATGTCTGAGACACTGTTTTATGATAGTTCTGAGACGATTTTGGCCTTAAAATGCATTCATGGTGGAGGGATACATAATATGCAGGGTGCTGTGTTGTCTAACTTAAAGGCATGAGCCAGTAATGCTAATGCTGCTGCTAACAATGAATGGAAGTGAATAGTCACCAGTTAGCGTTATCCAAAAGACTTCATACTGACTGGTGGCTACTGGTGTCCAGTCATTGTTAGCAGCTGTTTAAGGGTTACAGTCTCTCTAACTGCTGACCGTAGAGCACGATGTTTACTCTGAGCAAAAAAAACGCATTTCACTGAAACTAGCGGAACGTCACTGCAGGTTGAGGAAGCTGGGAGTGACCTATTTTTATCAGAGAGCGATTTCTGATGAAAATAGAACCCAGAAGAAAGTGCTGCTCCAGGATTTGAGTGCAGAAGCGCTGTAGTACTAAAAAAAGATGGTTCTTCAAGGGTTCTTTAGTAAAGAAAACGGTTCTATATAGAACCATGAACACTCAAAGAACCCTTTGCATGATTAAAGGGTTCTTATCATCGTAGAAGGGTTCTTCAGATGGATGTAGAATGTGCTATAGGTGATTCTGTATAGAATTGTTTTGAAAAGGGTTCTATATAGCTTCCAAAAGGGTTCTTCTATTGTGACGATGTCAAGCTTGTAACAATAGAAGAACCCTTGAAGAACCATTTCTTTCCTCATTTTTTTGGTGTTTATTTTTTTTTACTTTCTTCTTTTCTGTCTTGTTATTTTATTTTCTTTCTTTCTTTTTTATTTGGTTCTTTTAGTTCATTCATTCTTTCTTTCTCTATGTTTTTATTTTTTTCCATTTGTTTATTTGTGTGGTTTATTCTACCTTTTAATTTTTTTATTTGCTATGGATGGTTCTGTATAGAACCTTTTTGAAACAGGTTCTGTTTAGCACCCAAAAGTGTTCTTCTATTGCGAGCTATAAACCTGTAACAATAGAAGAACTATCTAGCACCATATACAACACACTCTCCATCCATCTGACAAACCTTTCACCATGCAAAAAACCCTTTAGTCATACAAAGGGTTCTTTGAGTGTTCATAGCTCTCTATAGAACCATTTTCTTTACAAAAGACCCCTTGATGAACCATCTTTTTTAAGTGTGTACAACAGACAGAAGTTCAAGGTTTAGCTGAAAGAGACTGACCAACTAACCCAGTCTGTGTTTTTCTCTCCTGTACAAGATGCTGGATGAGAACCACCACCTGATCCAGTGCATTATGGACTATCAGAGTAAAGGGAAGACTGCCGAGTGCACACAGTACGTTATGATGATGTCACAGAGCAGAAACACTCAGTGTCAGTATGTAAATGAGCGCTTTGGGTTTATTGTGTTCTGCTGTGTTTGTTCAGGTATCAGCAGATTTTACACAGAAACCTGGTCTATCTGGCTACGATAGCGGACTCCAATCAGAACATGCAGTCCCTCTTACCTGCCGTAAGCTCCACCCACTGCTCACCTGAGGCAGCACAGACTGCTGAACACACATGGCTTTCTTTGCTTTTTTTCTTGCTTGTTTTGTTTCTCTTTTTCATTCTTTTTGTCCTTTGTTTGTTTGTCTCTTCCTTTTTTTTGTTCTGTTTGTTCTTTTTTTGTTTGTCTTTTTTCTTTCATTGTTATTTTCTTTGTTTTTTTTTTACTTTCTTCCTTTCTATCTTTCTTTCTTTCATATTTAGTTATTTTAGCTCATTCGTTCTTTCTTTTTTCTTAGTTTGTTTCCTTATTTTTTATTCTTTTTCAGTTTGGTTACTTGTTTGATTTATTCTGTTTTTCAATTTATTTTCTTATAATTTATTTACTTTGATTTTTGTTTTTTTCATGTTCATTCTTTCCTCATTATTGTGGTATTTATTGTATTTTTTATTTTAGTCTTTTCTATCTTGTCATTATTATGCTTTTTTTCTTTCTTTTTTCTATTTTCTTGGTTTGTTTTTTATCAATCTGTTATGATTCATTCCTTTTTTTGCATTTGTTCTTTTTTGTTTCTTTCTTTTTTTTGCTCTTTCTTCCTTTTTTTTGCTCTTTCTTCCTTTCTGCTTTGTTTTTTCTTTCTTTTCTTTGTTTGTTTTAAATTCCTTCTTCCTTTTTTCTTTTCCTTTTTTTCATTTCTTTTTGTATCTCTTGTTCTAAGGTTTGGCTCAGCTGTGAATATAAGAATATTCAAATAATTTTAATTAATTTTAAAAGTAATTTTGTGATGAACTCTCTCTCTCTTCTCCTTTTTTCTGTGTCTCCCTCTCTTTCTCTGTCTCTCTCTCTCTCTCTCTCTCTCTCTCTCTCTCTCTCGCTCTCTCCCCTCTCTCTCTCAGCCTCCTAACCCCAATATGAGTATGGGTCCGGGTGGGATCGGTCCAAGTGGTGGTCAATCTCTTCACTCTCAGAGTAATCTGAATGACAGCATGGGCTCAGGTCTGCCCCCTACCTCACTGATGCAGAGCCAGCTCAGCAACGGTCAGCCTCTACAGCCCTGCATGAGTCTGTCTGTCTGTCTGTCTGCCTGCCTTGTCTATCTGTCTGTCTTTCTGTCTGTCTAACTGCCTGCCTGTTTGACTGCCACTCTTTTCCGTTGCCTGCCTGTACGTCCCTCAGATCTTTCCATCTCTCGCCATGGTCACTGTCAGCTCACTCACTGTTCATCTTAAAAGTTCAGCAAAAAAATCTAATTTACACAGTTTCCCCTCCAAGTGTAGTCAGGACATGTTCAGTGTCTGAAGTTTACTTCTTTACTTTTAGCACTGGAACTACGAGGCTAATGTAGCTATCAGGCTTAGACCAGTTAGATTTTACTGATTTAACTGAGTGGTATTTATTGTGAACTCTGGAAGAAAAATTGTTTAGTTTACTGTGCTAAAATATCTGTATTTCATTCATTTACTGCATTCATAGCCATGCAACAATAAATGCAGTATTTCTCTGTAATGCTAATTCAAATTGAGCCCTAATTTCTACAAATTCTAAATGTTTATGTGTCAACATCAGCAGATATGTACATGAAAAATAGTGACTATTAGCATCAGCCCATAATTCCTACATCAGTGCATATTGCTAACTGCCTGCCTATATCATGGTGTCAGGTTATTAAATGATTTCTAATAGTCTTGATTATGTGGTTTCTGACACTGTATGGCTCACTGTTATCTATAAAGATAGAATGCAGTTCATTAGCATAGCTAAACACAGTTGTAGTAATTGTCTATGTAATGATACACTATATAGACAAAAGTACTGGAACACCTACACATTACACCTACAGGAGCTTCTATGAGTCCTATTCTTAATCCATAGGTATTAGTATGATTTGGTGCGTCCTTGCAGTTATAACAGCTTCCACTCCTCTAGGAAGCTTTCTACAAGATTTTGGAGTGTGTCTGTGGGAATGTTTGTCTATTCATCCAAAAGACCATTGGTGAGGTCAGGTACTGATGTTGGACAAGAGGGTCTGGCTCACAATCTCTGTTCTAGTTCATCCCAAAGGTGTTTGATGGGGTTGAGGTCAGGGCTCTGTGAGGGCCAGTCAAGTTCTTCCACACCAAACTCACCCAGCCATGCCTTTGTGCACTGGGGCTCAGTCCTGCTGGAACACAAACAGAGAAGTACATGCAGGATATTGTAAAGCAAAGTAGTTCACCAATTTAGTTTTCATATTTACCCCAATTTTACCATAATCAGCTTAACATATAAACTTTACCTAGAATATAGAGTGGTCATTAAAAACACTTAGCTAGCTTTATGAAATACATGCCTAAAAATGATGGTTCGTCAAGGGTTCTTTAGTAAAGAAAATGGTTCTATGTAGAGCCATGAACACTTAAAAAACCTTTTGCTTGATAAAATGGTTATTTGCATGGTGAAATGGTTCTTCACATTGATGGAAAATGTGCTGTATATGGTTCTAAATAGAATCTTTATGAAGAGAATTCTATATAGCACCAAAAAGAGTTCTTCAATTGTAACAAGCCTGATGTCAAGCGTATAACAATAGAAGAACCCTTTTTGGTGCTGTAGAGAACACTTTTCAAAAAGGTTCTGTTTAGAACCATCTACAACACATTCCCCATCAATCTGAAGAACCTCTTGATGATGTAAAGAACCCTATAATCATGCAAAGGGTTCTTTGAATGTTCATGGTTCTTTATAGAATCATTTTTTTTCTAAAGAACCCTTGAAGAACCATCATTTTCAAGTGTACTTTAACCCATTAACTTTACATTCATGATGTAATTTCACTTCATATATAATCCTAAATGTATAATACAAAGAGGTACTATGACTAGCTGATCCAAATTCAGGCTAGCAAAACTACCCTAGCTAGCACACAGCAGTATAAATAAGCAAGTCTGTTTGAGATTTCTTAATAACTCAACACAGATTGAGGCAAATATGTGAAGGTTTAGGCTTGCAGTTAGCATGATGCTAATTGTTAAGATATAAGCTTCTATTTACTTTCTCTACTTCTTAGCTACATTAGCCTTGTAGCGCCAGTGCTAAACCAAAGAGGCAAAATCAAGTTCTGGTTGGTCAATGACATTTGCCATAATGGGAAAACTGTATAAATTAGATTTTCCGCCACACTAAGCTCTCCACCCATCCCGTGTCTTTGTTTCTTTAACGTTATGGTCTACTGATGAACTGAATGTGTGGCGTTGTGTGCACACGTCGTGCCTTTTTTATCTTGACTACGCAGTTTGACTGTGAGTGTGTGTTGTCAGGCCCCAGCCACGCCCCCATGCAGCAGCAGTCCGGCCCCGGGCCCTCCACCTCCATGAGCCTGCCCTCCAGCAGCCATGGCTCTGGGCCTGGCTACAGCCACTCTGTGCCCTCGTCTCAGGGCACCACGCCGCTCCAGGGGCAGGGGGGATACCCGTCCTCCTCCCGCGCCAACCTCAACATGCAGTCAAACCAAGGTGAGCCCCCAGAGCGCTCGCCCTCCAGTCATACCTAACAGAGACACAGGATTGGGTGAAATGAGACCAGTGGTTTAATTTAGTCTGAAGTACAGTAGGGTACTGAGGGTACTGACTGGCTGACCTGATCAAGGTTAGCAGGAATAGCATAACTAACACATAGTAATGTAACTAGAACATTAAGCTAGGAACATAAATATCTATAATTATGAATGTTACATACATTTATATGTAGTTAATCCTGAATGTACAGTGTAGTTCCTGTACTGTGACTAGACTAGATGACCCAATTTTGGCTAGAAAAAACTAGCCTCGAGGGTTTTAAAGGGTTCTTTGGGAAAAGGCATGGTTTTATTGAGAACCATGAGTTCTATATAAAACCATTTGCATGCTTAAACGATTCTTTGCATATGGTTGTGGTTGCATTGAGTTGTATGTAGTTCCATATAGCACCAAAAGAGGTTCTTCTGTGGTATACAGGCTTGACATTGTAACAATCTAAGTGCCCTTATTGGTACTGTATAGAACCATTTTTAAATACCATCCAAAGAACCATTTAAGCATGAAGTGGTTCTATATAGAACTCTTGGTTCTAAATATAATAAGCTACAATTAGCTGACCCTAATCTTAGCTAACAAAACCAGCCTAGTTAGCATTTAGCTACATAATTAACCCATTGATTACATTCATTGTCTGATTTAGGCTCAGACATCCTGAATGCATACTGTAGATTACTGTGACTAGCTTATGTGATTATGATTAGCAAGACTAGCCTAGCTAGAGCATAGTGACATAGAGCATAAAGACATTAGCTACATTAATGAAAATAATTAACACATTCACCTTAAAACATAATCCCTAATGTGCATTCGTAGTGGGCAAACTCTGACTAGCTTGCCCAGTAATGGTTAGATAGACTAGCCTAGCTAGTGGATACCAGCATACATGTCACTTCAGATCTAATCCTGAGTGTTACTCATTTAGTATGGCTCATACTTCATTTTTTATCATAGTAAATAAAGGATTAATTTAGTCACAACCTACAGGGCTAAAGTAGCTCAATTGCTAAAAAGGGGTAAAGACCATTTTTCTTTGGTATTTCAAGGATGTCAGGATTCTAAAGGTCGCTGACCTCTTTCTTGCTCCCAGACAACCAGGTTAGCAACAGGAAAACGTTTCCGTTTTATTTTTCCTTGCTGTGTGAAAATTTTGCATACAGTGGTACAAATGGGCAGCTATGAATCATAGAATTCCATTCCATTTAATTTCATTCTATTCCATTTCCATTCCATTCTCCTATCATTCCTGTTGCCGTCCAATGTCCATTCTAATTCCATTTTCATTCCATTCCATTCCATTCCATTCCCATTCTATGCCATTTAATTTTATTTCATTTTGTTCCCATTCCATTTAATTTCATTTCATTCCCATACCATTCTTATTCCATGCCCATCCCTATTCCATTCTATTTTCCTTTTCATTTTCATTCCAGTTCCTATTCCCATTCCTATTCCAGTCCTATTCCGGTGCATTCTGTTCTGTTCCTTTACGTTCCTGTTCCTGTTCCATTCCCATTCCCATTCTATTCTATTTAGTTTCATTTCATTCTGTTCCCATTCCATTCCATTTCATTCCATTTCATTCCCATTCCATGCCCATCCCCATTCCATACCATTTTCATTCCTATTCCCATTCCCATTCCTATTCTATTCCTGTTCCTGTTCCATCCCATTCCCATTCCAAACTTTTGTTACTACAGTGTTCTTCACTACAGTGATGATATGCTGAAATAAAACAGTGTTGCAATGTTGCAGTCAGTGCTTGTGTGCATTGCTTATGAGTGTAAAAGCGTGAAAAAAGAAATGTTCCAGTGTTTGGTTGCCTTAATCATCATTAGACTGAATGATATGGAAGTGAAAAGAGTGAAGATATACTCACAAGTTGAATAGTGCAAGTAGAACATCAGTGTGAACAAGAACTGAAGTAATGTTCTCAGCATTTATGTTCTTAGTGTGTGCAGAATACAGTTTTTTAAGTGTTGCTTTATAGCTCCTGTCCTTGAAAATGAGGCAGCTAAAAACAAACACATTCAGTTCATCACTGGGAGTCCGCCTCTTCCTCTGCTGTTTAATTATTTACCCTCCTCTTCTAACAGGCTTCCCTGACCTTTAACCTTCCCCTCTGACATGCTGCCCCTTTTGTTCCCCCCGACTGTCAGCGTTTCCTCGTTGTGCGAGCATTTATCCAAGCTTGGCTTCTGCTCTTTTTTTCCACAACGAATTTTTCAGTTTCCCTGACAGATCCCCTCCCAGCTTTCCTGATGCAGCTTCTGAACGGCTTCTCCTTGACCTTCACGATCTTTCCTGGAGGAATTTTTCTCATTTCTTTGTGATAAAGTTGCTGTTCTTATGGTAATGTGTGTGGTGTCACCCCCTCCTGGTTCTTCTCAGTCTCTATGATGCATCAGCAAGGTGCAGGACCCCACTATTCTTCGTCCCAGGCTGGGGGTCAGCACTACCAGGGCCAGCAGTCCTTGGGCATGATGGGTCAGGGAAACCAAGGCAACAGCATGATGCCACAGAGGCCCATTGGAAGCTATCGTCCCTCTCAGCAAGGTAAGTGGAGCGTCCTTCCTCTCGTTCTGTTTGGTGTGGTTTGGTGCTGGCTGCTGGATGTGTTAGTGCTGGAGAAGGTGGTTCTGTATAGTGCTGAGAAATACATGGTTATTTACTATTTTTCCCACAATTACCCAAATTGTAGTCGATGAGTCAAATGTGGTGGGCTACCTCAAAATGTGTATGAGCTTGTTAAGTTTCATGAGAATTGTTCAAAGTGGTCATTTTTGTGAACTAAACACTGCTCTGAAAGGACTAATGGGCATGTGGTGACCATATTATGTACAAGTATCTACACTTTGTTAATCATACTTGACCAGTGCAGAAATAAAGAAGCAGTGTTTGGCTTATTGACTGAGGGAAATGAAGTAAATGTGATCAAAAGTGGCATCATTTTGTATAGACTGTGGAAGGAGGACACAGTGGTGAGGTCCTATATAGAACTGTATGCAAATGTAAAGCTTGTTGGTGTGGATATCTCAGCTCAGTTTATTAAGAGGAGAGATGTGGGCTGGTCCAGTTTGGTTTAGCTATATAATATAAGCCCATAGTGAGGTTTGACTAGTAGCAATGTTCCTGACTAGGCCTGGACGATATCTAAAAATAAGTAGGACAATATATTATTATCTATTACATTGCACTGAAGTTGTTGCAGCGATTTTGGAAAGTAGTGATGAGGAGAACATTTATCTGCTATATTACTCATACATTCCACTAGTTTCATGAATCTAGGACGTTGGTAAACACATTTCAAGCACCAAAACAATTCATCCACGTGAGCAATGCTGTTTTCACAAGCAATATTAAGAATTTCCACTTTCACCTTTTCAGCTTTTGGGCCCAGTTATCTCTGTAGTCAGTGCTCCAGGTCAAACGGGCCTCATTACAGAGAGAGCTGAGATCGTTCTCAACATTTTGATATATAACATCAACAACAACATTTGATATTTCCTCGTCCAGGCCTATTCCTGACCTCTCCTCCCTTAAGACAGGCTTGAATTTGGGCTCAGGTTTTCTGGTTAACTGAGAAATCCTGCTGAACTGTCGTCTAGCAGGTTGATGTTGGACCAGACGGTCACGTGACCGAGTGTGTGCCATTAGTGGTGTGTGACAGCGTTCCGGGACGAGATGGTCACGTGACCGGCTGCTGGTCGCTTGAAGGAGACGAGAGGAGAAATTAATCACGGCTGTCGCTGCTCGTCCAGGAACTCATAGATCTCTGCGTTCTCGCTGTGTCAGCACATGACTGAATACAGGGTTTGGGAGAGCGCTTGGTGTTGGCGGATGGTGGAAGCTTTTGTGCAATTGTCTGTGAATATCTCCATGATCAGTTTTCTACTGCAGGTCTAAACTGTGCTCAGAAGGCAGAGGATAGCTTAGTAAACAACGAACAGACAATGATATTAAAGCGGTTCATTGTGTTTTAGTCTTTTAACCCTATGATGTGACAGACTCTTCGTTCTTCTGGTGCTACAGAAGCAACTAAAGTAGGTTCTGTTTGTAGGGGTGTAACGATACATGTACAATGTCACCATTTCTGATTCTGAGATTAAAAATCGATTCAGTTTACAGTCGAATTTAAAATGTCGATTTCATTTAAATTTAGTTCTGCTTGGTTTGGCTAAGAGTTCTCCGATAGATCTCTTTCAGCGTCTGCCTTGCTGCCCTCTAACAAAATAAACCCGAAAAAATATCGCCCCTTCAATTTATAAGCCATTCTTGTCCTCACCTGCCTACATTGGGCTGTGGTCCTCATCTGCAACTGCTCACCTTTAGCCTTCATAATCTGCACCACTGCAGTAGAGAAGCCCCACAACCCTCACAACCCCCTAACACAACAGAACAGCCTACAGACCCATCATACAAACCAGAAACCAGCCAAAAACAGAAACTTGAATGTTGAGAAAACAGAAGTCAATATTTAACAATATTAAATCATTAGCTAGTTGTGCTACAGAGTATCTACAAGTCAAAGCCAAAATTAAACTGTAGCTGAAATATTCAGCTGTGGCTGTGATATGGACTGAAAAGCCAAAACAATTTCCTTGGAAGTTTGGCTGTCCGATGATGTTGTATTAGCATCAGTTTAAAAAGATGCAGTGGCACTTTACAGGACTCGGAGAAGCCTGTGCTAGCCTTCACCCTCCTAGCACTGGTAGTGTTGTGTGATTGGGGGAGTCCTAACTAGTGGGTGGAATTAGATATGACTAAATTTGGGAGGAAAAAAAAACAGTTACTTGAGTGTGAGGGTGTGCACAACGTAAGCCCCGCCCACTTTACTCTGATAGGCTGCATCTAGATGACTAGTTTTGATCATTGACAGTAGCCAATATGATGATATTTAAAGGTGTTATGATAAATTATGTCAAAATCTCTCAAAGCATGTTCTTTAGTACTTTTAGAATGGTGACCAACTGCATGTTTTATGGCAAAGAGAGCATTGTTAATCCTGTTTCACTGAATTTAGTGCGACGTGAAAAGTTAAATAAAAATCAGATGTACTGATGTAAAAAAAAATAAAAATATCGTGACATCATGTTTTGATATTACATCATTTTTGGAGTATCGCGATGCTGTATTTTGGTTTAATTGCCCACCTCTAATTGATGGTGGTTTCCACATTGTATATTCCAGTACACTGTTTCAAACGTCCATTTGTTCTATGTTTTCATACTATATTGAAATCATTACACCCTTACTGCTTTCTTATTATGGTTTCACATCCTCTAGTTTACTAATTCTGCAAAGGAAGTTTGTGCTGGAGATCTTTCTAGATAGTTAAGTCAAATTATTACAGTGTGTGTTCTGTTGAAAATGGTGGCAGGAAGTGTTATGAAGTAAGTTGGAAGTCTCGCTAATTTTTGTTGACCTGTCTTATTAAGTCTTTTGTGTGTGCTTTTGGGTCGGTATATGGTGCACTTGTGCCTGATATGAGGTGTTTTGCTAAGTTTGAAGGAAGTTGGGATATCTGGAGTTTCTGCACACCAGCACTAAAAATGCTCTTTCCCTTTTTTGGCCATGTTGGAATTCTCCTTAATTCATTTGTATCTCCTTCCACTTGCACTCAGTTTACTCTGCAAATTCCCTTTTTTTCACATCATCCCCATGGATTTTCCTTTTTTTTTGCCCCTCTTCTTTTTTAAATTTTAGGGTTTTTAATGACTTGCTTTGCAGATTCCAGATGAGGGACCATTTTATTTGTCACAAATCTTACTAGTTATAAGCAGACCTGATCATCTTTGTACTGATTGTGAATTATTCCCTCATGATGGCATTAGTCATGCTAAACCCTCATAAAGCTATAGATTTTATTCCATCTCACAGATCCCCTCTCTCAAGAAAAAACAAACCCAAACATTGTCAAGCCCCCTTTATGACCCCCCTCTAGAGCCCTATGATCAGCCTCTTGGCTGATTGGCTGATTAACCCTTAAATTCATGGGTATTTCTGCAACAGAGAGTTTAAACTTTGGGTTTTTTAGTGATGTGGCATTTATATTTAACACAGACAGATACATTGTCATGATAGTGTAAAACTCACAATATTTCACTAACAAATTAACATATCAGAACTTACAATATTTGTTATATTTTGATATTTGTCATTTATCTAGTCTTTACAAATAACAAAACAGCATTCATAACAACTTGACTGTGTCAGGCATTAGTTTGTATTAAACAACTAGCAACCCTGTACATTTTTTTTTACAGAAAAACAATTCTTTAAATATTTTTGTAATTATTTTGGTGTTTCAAACAACAGTATTTCAGGAGAAATAAGGTTTTTTTTGATAATTTCAGGAAATAATGTCACATTATACAAAATTCTTGGAAAACAAATTCATTTTTAAGTCATAGCTTTTGAACTATTTATTCTAGATCATGAAATTTTCAGGGATTGTTCTTTGTTTATGGTATACTTAAATGTACTAAAACAGAAGACATAGAGATGCATGTTTGAAGTTCTGGAAATCTACAATTTTTTGTGCATTGGATCAGATTTTGCCCTCTATGTCTCCACACTGAAGTACATCAGATATTTGATACTGCTATTATTACTCATATCACAATACTGTTTTGCCAGTTAGATATTAATCTTAAATGAATACTTTATATAATTGAAAAGAGTATTGCAGTTAACAATTGTACCAAATATATTGTAGATTTTACTAGTTTGTTTAATAGTAGAACAGGGCATCACAGAATTTACTTGAAAATGGGTTAATGGATTATTTAGATATTACATATTTTTATATCTACTGTCACAAGTGTATTTGACTATAAGTACAGTTTGGCTAAAGATAACACACCTAATTGGAAAAAGTTTAATGTTACATGAGTAAGAAATACCAAAACATCAGAGATCTGGCGATACTGAGGGCCAGTTTTTTTCCAGATTTTCAGAAAGTCATAAAATGCAAAACATGCCTTGGGATCTTCTGTTTTGCTAAGATTAAACATACTTTAAATCAAAGAATCTGAAGCATGAATAGTTAACAAGTACAAGTTTTTCACCTTTTTCTGTAGGCAAATATTCTGTATTTCTGTTATACTTTGTAAAGCTATATCTCAGGCAGCAGTAGGGATATAGGCCTATTTTTTTGCACAATATCTGTTGGAAACATTGGCATTATTTCCTGAAAATATGCATTTTTTTTCCCTAAATCTGGTACTTTGAGGTGGATTTACCCATATATTTTATTGATCGCTGAGGGTGCTGTAGTAGAAAAAACACTGACAATATGTGCACATAACACAAATAAAAACATAATTATACATTGGTAAATAGTTTGACATAAATGTAGCACTGTGCAAAAGTCAGAGACTAACTTTCATTTATTGAATTTCCTTTCAAAACAGCCTTCAAGCACAAGTTATTAATTCCTTAAGATATATTTTTGTTCAGCCTTCCACTGTGAGAAGACAACTCAGCACTATGGGTCTGAAAGGATGTGTAGCTGTCAAGAAGCCTCGCTGAGAAAAGGAGACAGACACATCAAACAAAGAAGCTGAACAATGGACTGACCACCCCAGAGTCCAGACCTCAACATCACTGAATGTGTTTAATTACTTCAGAAAATGATCAACCAACTTCTGACTGAACTTTGGAGGTGTGTCTGCAGATTTCTTTGAGAAACTGAAAATGAGTCTCCTGAAAAGAATGGAAGCTGTAATAAAAGTGAAAAAGAGTGTTTTCTGCCTTTTTCCCAGCATTGAAAAGTGGGTAACTTGGACTTAAGGGCCTTTTTAACTGGAAAAGAAATTAAAATAAAGTGAAAGTCTCTGACTTTTGCACAGCACTGCAGGTTGAGATGGGGACCAAAAAATGGATGGGGTAAAGAGGTAAAGAGGTAAAGGGGGGTGAGGATAAGGGTCACGAGTGGCCCGAGGTATAAATTTAAGGGTTAACCAACCCTGGTGTCACCCTGTCTTTCAGGATCTGCCCCGCAGTACATGGGCCAAGAGGAGTTCTACGGAGAGCAGTACGGACACACTGCCAGCTCCAGCGAGCCCATAAACCAGCAGTATTACCCCGATGGTAATCACACGGACGCTCAACCCTCACACACACACCCACACGCACCAAAGTACACACTCATCCACCTCCTCAAACCCTGGAACATCTCCCCCCCCCCTTCTTCCTCTGCCTCAGTTTTGTCCGGAGTCGCTGGGAGAACCCCTTTCTTTTCCTCTTCCCTCCTGCTTTTCATGTGCTTCTCTTTACATTTTGCATCTCAGCGACTAAATTCCAATTCCAAGACTCTCCCCTTTTGCGAAGATGCTTTTGACCTGTACTTTCCTCCCTTGTTACATCTGTCACTATCTATTTTTCCTTATCTACCCCCTCTGCCCCCCCTCGTGCACTGAGGCTGATCTCAGAACAGCTCTTCCTCCTCTTTGATTGTGAACCTTTTTTTGGTGTGCCGAAATTTCAGATCTATCTTTCCTTTTCCGTTTTCCGCCACCTTTCTTTGGTATGGAGTTAGGTGTGGTAGGCTGAGGCGTGTCCGTGTGGGTGTGGGAGGAGCATTGCCTGGTCTTTGCCATTCAGTGTTGGGGTCTGAATTGTTTTGTGCCCTGGCGGAGGGCGTGTGCACAGTGTTTTGTGTGTGTTTGAGCTGATGTTATGCCCCCTGCTAGGTCATGGAGAATACTCCTATCAGCAGTCCTCCTACGGAGAGCAGGGCTACGAGAGATCATTTGAAGAATCCTCACAGCACTATTATGAAGGCGGTGGGTACCAAAACACACAAATCTACATAAGGACTTCATAACATAAGTATTGAAGATGCACTGTGTAAGATTTTCAGACCACACTGTCTGTCTTTACGCACGTAGGCTCAAAAAGAAGGTCCGGCTTGATGTTTAGCTCTCAAATGAGCTCAAAATCAACATTATACTGATGAGAATATGATGACAATAGTAAATAAATCACTCACATCCTCAGAAGGCGCATCCTTCACCAAGTTGGCTGATTTCTCCTTGAATTTTCTTTCGATCAACAGACTCATCCACTCGGGGGAAGAAGCACAACCCACACTACAAAGTGTTCTTCCACACGTTGCATGCGGTTACACATTTCCACCAGGCATCCAAATCTTACATAGTGCAGCTTAAATAAACATATTAAGAAACAGTTCTTGAGTATTTAAGAATTGCTTATATCAGTGCTCACAAAATGACATTACCTAAGTGAAAATGTAAATGAATAGCGCATTGAATTTATTTGAAGGCTACCAATAAAGAGACATTATGACACATGCATAAGCACTGAATAATGTGTTTATAAAGCTGTACTTGAGCATTTATGAGCAACCTATACCAGTAATTTCAAGGCAGTGTAAGATGTTTTATAAAGTAAATGACACTTTAAGTGCTCTTAAAGTAAAGGGTAACTCTACATAGGGACCTTATAACACATGCATAAGGCACTGAATAATCTATTTCTAAAGCAGTGCTTAAATATATAGGAAAAACTTATGCCATTAATCACAAGACGACACACGATGTTTAATAAAGTCATAACATTGTATTGAGATAAAGGCAATTAAACTAAAGAGTAACTCTTTGTTTAAAAGGGCTTCATAAACTTTGAATGATGTATTTGTAAAGCAGTACTTGAGTGTTCATGAACAGCCAAAGCCAGCAATTTCAAGATAACATAACGTAAGATGTTTTATAAAGTAAATTGCATGGTACTGACATAAAGGCCCTTTTAACTCTCAATTTCTTCATATTAACTCTTAATATGAAGGCTACCTACATATGGACTTTATAACACATGCACAAGAATTGAATAATGTATTTTTAAAGCAGTACTTAAATATTTATGAAAGACTTATGCATTAATATTCATAAGTGTATATGAAAGTTCTCTATTTATACTTGAGTATGTCAGTACATAATCCCTTGCACTTTAAATGTACTTTAGTATCAAAAGTAAAAGTACTGTGAGTTATTACAGTTACTATGCTTGTTATTATTTTGATGAACAGTTTCTATTAAGGAGACCTGCATACCCACAGAGATGAGAAACGGTTAGCTGTTCACAGCTCTCCTTAACTGTACTACTCAAGTAGGAATATCTAGAACTGATGTATATGGAGTTGTTAACCAGGCCTCTGCTTTATAAGCTCCACTGCTTGGGAATGTTGCTTCATAACAGTATTATAAATGGGATGTGTCTGTCAGTTCACTCAGAGCAAAAAATTAACTGAGCAAAACAAGTAATTTTATTGATTTTTTTAAAAACTCAAATGGAAAACCTGGCCAGGACTGTACTGCAGTAATAGTACACCATGTTGAGGAAACACTCTTAAAATTATGGTTCTTTGAGGGGTCTTTAGTAAAGACAATGGTACTATATAGAACCATGAACACTTAAAGAACCATTTCCATGGTTAAATGGTTCTTTGCATAATGAAATTAGTTATTATTAGAAATGATTAGTGGTAATAAGGCACAAAAAACAAACCTTGTTAAGAAATTGCTATACAAATGATTCTATTATTTTTACTATTATATTGTTATTATTAGATTATATTCTTAGCATGAAGTAAATTCACATCTTATTAGTGGAGAAAAGGCAACATTTTATTCCTACAAGTTCTACATTCTTAGAAAAAATGGTTCTATAGTAAAGGGAGTTGTTCTGTATAGAACCATTTCATGCTAAAATGGTTCATTGCATGGTGAAATTCTTCTTCAGATTGATGGAGAATATGCCGCATATGGTATTGTATAGCACCAAAAAGGGTTCTTCTGTTGTTATAAGCTTGATGTTGTCAACTCTTTTTGGCGCTATTCAGAACCATATACAACACATTCTCCATCAATCTGAAGAACAATTTCACCATGCAAAGAATCATTTTAGAACAAAATGGTTCTTTGAGAGTTCATGGTTCTATACAGATTGTGTTTAATAAAGAACCCTTGAAGACCTTATACATGTATCTGTTATCTTGATCAAAATCAGTTTGATTAGAACCATCCTGTTTGAACTAAGCCACTATGTAAGATAAAGCTTACTATAATAATTATATCAGGAATGAACAATAATATTTGTCAATAATATTGATCAATACTATAATATTTAGATGTTTCTGGGTTACTGCACTAAAAAATCTGCGGCTTATTAATTTCACTGCATATGTAACTCTACTCTGTTTTTTCAGTCCCGCCCCCGCCCACTCTCTCAAGATTTCATCCCACTCCCACCACTCCCACAGAAAATTGGAATCATTTGTCCTGTTCCCACCCGCAACCGAAACGTTTTGTCCTGCTCTCGCCCGTGCAATCCTGTCACGGCGAACTGACATCCAATATCTGACACAGTCTCTTCACAAATACATTATTCTCTGCTGAAATGACAGCAGTCATGGTCGTCAGGCTCACTGTGAAGTAACTTCACCAATTGCCATTTTTTCCCGGTAAACACAAAGCAGGAATTAAACCACAAAGCGGTAATTTTTGGTGTTTTGCTGGGCAACTGTGACCATTGGACCGGAGGCTCCGTCGTCTCTGTGACAATCTCCAAGTTTACATGCTTCGCAGCTCTTTAGAATGACTTCATTAACTGTTTTACTGTTATTGTTTTATATTGTATAAATTTGGGGGATTTCTCTCTATGTGTGTTTCGTCCCGCTCCCACCTTCAGTGGGCTCGTTTCCCGGTCACTCCCACACCTGACACTGAAAATTAGTCCCGTGCCGCAAGATATTGTGATGACTCCCACAAGTGCAGACCTCTACTCTACAGATATAAATATTACATCTCTCTGTAATGCTACTTCAGTTAAACCTAGTCCCAGTTTCTACATTACATATACATGTTTATATATCAGGATTGGCAGATATGTCCAAGAAGGATATTGTTGATGTGTTAAATTGTGTTGTTGTGTTGTAGGAAACCCTCAGTACAGCCAGCAGCAGCCGCAGTATCAGCAGAGTTCAGGACAACAGCAAACCTTCAGCCAACAACAGTATCCCTCACAGCCGGGCTATAGCGGGCAGCCACAGGGTTACGGTAATGACATACACATTCAAAAATGCATGTTGGAATGTATTGTTTTTTCTTTTTTTGATATTTATGTGCAATCTTTATTGTATAATGTTTTATGTTTTATATAAAGTAACACAAATATTGATATGATGTGCTGAACTCATTCATGTCCAACGACAAAATCTAATATGATGAGGAAAATGTTACATAACTTCTGATTGGGCTAAAGTAATGAAATTGTATATACTTATACCATGAATGAATGACTACATGTAATACTTTTACTCTTAATCTTGGATTTTCTATTGTTTTGTTAAAAAATCTGACTACATTTAATGATAAAGTGATCAAAACTCCTTTTTAGCCTTATATTTTGATTGATTTTTAAGAAAAATCTAATTTGAGCTTGCATATGGACCCCAATACAAATAAAATTTGAGATGTGACTCACTCACAACTTAAAAAGCCATGCCACGTCCATGATGACCAGTCCGTTTGTGTGTTTAGGTCCGGGTCAGGGAGGCCCCTCTCAGTACTCTCAGTACCAGCAGGGTCAAGGTCAGCAGTATTCTTCATATCGCTCCACACAGTCAGCGCCTGGGGGTCAGCCACAGAGACCCTACACCTACGAACAGGTACACCACATCTGCAACATACACTTCTGAACCCTCACAGACCCTTTGCTGCAAACATCACATCCTCATATCTGACATTTTTCTTAGATTTTAGTTTTTCCCATGAGTGTCCACTAATAATGTTTGTGTTGTTTTATGTACCATAAACAGTCATAATTAATTTCTACACAAACAGCCTGTTTATCACTTAATTATTAATTATTTATTAAACAGGCTACTTTGTTACTGTGACTTTAAGACTGAAATATGTGTGTTCTGTGTTCTGATTGGCTGGACTTATTCAAAAAGCACTCAGAGCTATACTGTCTTTATATCCTTAGTGGATATGATAATGTCATTATTTAAAGAGCACTTTTGATACTGGTGGGAGCTCAAAGTGCTTTTCAGACATGTTTTACAGTATACATGTGAATTAGTTGCTGCATGAACAATGAATTCAAAACAGGCTGTTTTTGCAGTTTAGTTTCTGTGTCCTGTATGGACTAGAGAGTGAACTTTTACCAATGTTTACAAATTATTTCAAACTCCTGTTTTGCAAAAAAGCGAGGAAAGTTAATTTTTTTAAGTTCACTTACAGTTGGCTGGGGCAGATCTAGCAGGGCAGAAATTTCACCATCTGGCTTGTGGCAAAGGTGGCTGTAACAGTAATAATCAGACTTGAATTGGGATCCAGACATGAGCCAAACTTTATTTACAGCAGGGGAAAAGTGTGCTGGTAGTAGAAAAGCTAGTCCAGTTCAAAAGGGGGAAAAAACAGTCACAAACAAAGCTGAAATCCAAATATGGGCAAAACCGGAAAACAGGCAGAATGTCAAAACAAGAGTTACGCAATGAACCATCAATCACAAGGTTTGGAATTGCAAGCCTAGGCTGTGTCGCTACCCAATTTGTACCAGAAACCTGTTTTAGACTACACAATCGCGAAAAAGTGTTTTGCTGTCTGATATTGGCTTTGTGTAATGAATGTAATAAATGCTGCCTACTCATACAGTATTCTGAGGAACTAACGTAGCCATTCATGCCCAAATTGATGTTTATGTAAAACGCTGCCTGAGGTTCACTTTTTTGAAGGCAGTGTAGATGTATCCTAGCCTTCTTAAAACACTGGAAGAAAGATGCTAATGCTAACAGCTAGCAGTGAGGTGTTGTATCTTGGCAACAGCATAATGTATCACTGCCTTTGAAGCATGTCTCAAACACGATTCATTTGCAGGTTGGTTAATTGTAGCGTCGCCTTCTGAGACAAGTCAAATCAAGTCAGGCTTTATTGTCATTTCATATATATACAAGTACACAGTGAAACGAAACAACATTCCTCCAGGACCATGGTGCAACACAGGAACACAAGTGCGAGACAATACAGTAAACACAGTGCAGTACAATAAATAAATACGAAAGACAGGACACAGGCAGTACACGGTACTGAGAGTATGTGGAGTTGTGCAAAGGAGGATGTAACAAACTATGACATATTAGCAGATTAGCAGATAGCCTAGCATATATGAGCACAGCAGTCACTGAAGTAGCAAGCAGAGCAGCAATATACATTATGCAGTATTTGGTTGATACAGTAATTCCAACAGCTAACAATGTTAAAGTGAAGTATAAAATGTGCAAAAAATGCAAAGTTAGATGTTGTTGTGGAAATAAAATGTGCAAAAATCCAAGTATTCAGATATACAGTCATGTCAAATGAAGTGTTTCAGTGAAATGCAGTAACTATATCTATGCAGTGTTCCATAATTTGGAACTGCAAAAAGTGGGGAGTGAGTTAGTCCCATATTGTTATGTATATGTGTGGGTCCGTGTGGGTGTTACGTATATGTGTATGTGGGTCCGTGGGAGTTGAGACACTGACTTATTAGATGACAAGGCATCAAGACAGCTGCCTTGAGTTTGGCACACGCTGACGTGCCTTTGCTGCGCATGCGTGGTCCAAATCGGGTTTCTGGTTCAAATCGGGTAGTGACAGGCTCAAACGAGACTTTGAAAAGACTTCAGGTGAGCAGTCAGCAGATTAAAAGTCAGGGAAGAGTGACCTCTGCAGGCGAGGAGGGGAATCCCCAGGCAAGGTTGGCATCCTATGACAGTGCCATGTTTAAAGTCACTGAGCTCTTCATTACGACCCATTCTACTACCAGTGTTTGTCTATGGAGACTGCATGGCTATGTGCTTGATTTTATACACCTGTCAGCAATGCACCTGAACTTAGTAATTAGGAGGGGAGTCTACATACTTTTGGCCATATAGCGTATTTCTGCATGCTTTCCTTATTCAAGTCAAGTCAAAGTTTTTTTTATATAGCACTTTTTACAGCAGACGTTTTACTAAAATTCCGGGTCCAAGCCCCCATGAGTGACAGTGGCAGGGAAAAAAAAGAGCAAGAGGAAGAAACCAAGAGGAACCAAGACTCAAAAGTGGAACCCATCCTTCTCTGGTCCACACCAGATAGCAAACAATAACAGCAGAGAATGAGATTTGACCATCAGTATAAGATACAGAAAAGGGGAAAAACAGGAATAGCAATGTCCATGATTAAAAATGCAGCAGTATCATCAAGAGGGTCAGTTCATGCAGGTGAGGTTTGCACAGCGTTGTACAGCGGTAAGCTCCATGGTGGTCAGACTGGTCCAGGAGATGGGCAAGCAGTAGGCACCTAATCAGAGCAGATGAAGCAACAGCATCAGAACGCACAGGATGGGCAGCTGTTCAGCTCAACAAAGAAACACACAGGCAGTTAGTTCTGTTAAGAGAGACTGATTACAGTATACAGTGTTAACAGAGCAGCAGAGACTCCGGCAGTTCGAATTATTACAGCCTAACTAAGAGGGAGAGTCAGAAGGTAACATGAGGACTCCCTGAAAGGCTCCCCTCCGCTCCACTGTCAACAAACCTGAGTAAGTGCGTGAGAGCAGCAGGACGACAGCACCAACACTGGAAGATTGCTCCAAAGCTGGGTGGCTTTGAATGAAAAGGCTCTTGTAGGCTGATGTAACTTTATTAACTGTAGGTACTAAAAGTAAGCCAGCACCTTGTGATCTAAGTAGGCATGATGGTTCGTAGTAAGAGATAAGTTCACTCAGGTACTGAGGGCCGAGGACATTTAGAGCTTTATATGCCAGTAAAAGAATTTTGTACTCATTATCTTCTTTTTTTAAACTGTTTTCCCTGCAGGGTCAGTATGGAAACTACCAGCAATAAGGACATGCGGCTCTGGCGATGGCAGTTCTGTTGATCGAGCAGGATTACACTGTATACATCCCAGCGTAGTGATGCTGAAAAGTAAAGCTTGTCCTGCTGCAGTCGGCTAAAAGAAACTCAGCTTCCGTCTGCTGCAGACTGATATTGGAATCCACTTTCCTGTCTCTTTAACTGTTAATATTTCACTACTTTATTTCACCTACCTCCTTTTCATTTCTCAGAGGACTTTAGAACTGGTATCTCTGTACAGAGACAAAAATAGATATGCTTACTTAACAGAAACAAAACAAACAGAAATATAATCCTGTTCATATTTTCATATTTAGTGCGTCAACTGTGATTTTCTTTTTAGTGGAGAAAATAAGACGAGCGTATTAACCTACCTGGCGTAATTCAGCTTGAGCCGGGAGTTTTATAGATATATGCATATATACACATATATTTTTATTTTGTTTTTGGTTTGTTTTATATGTAGAGGGGTTAATGAAGCATTCACATTGGCTGTTTCTTTATTTTCTTATTATATTTTCCAACCTAATCTGTTACGCTTTATTCCTGTTAGTGCTGGATGGTGTTGATGAAATTAAATATTATAATTTTTCCCAAATATATTACAATATCAAATAATGTTCATGTTAATATTAATAAAGCTAATGAACCCATACATTAATAAAGTTATGAAATTAGCATTAATAAAGTTAACCCTTGCGTTAAAGGGGAATTCCACCAACTTTTCAAAATTGTCTACTTAATGTTTGAGATGTAAGCAGAATCATTCAGAGTGGTTAGGTGTGAAATAGTTCAGATTTCTTTACAGTGGTGGTGATAGGAAACAGGGGTCGCCAAGACTACAACACAAATATAGACATTTTATTTACTATCCAAAACCACCAGTGAACCTATACGTGTCTTCTGAGTTTTATATGGAATGTTTGAAGGTAAAATAGCAGAAAATCTGAAATAGTCATTTTTCTTTGGGGATTATTTTGCCACACAATGCTCTGCATATTATGTATCCCTCCACCAAGAATGGAGTTTAAGGCCAGAATCTTCTCAAAACTATCGTAAAACAGTGTTTCAGTCCTCGGTCAGTGTATTCATGACCATTTCATGCAATAACTTTCTGTGAGGGAGCTTTTAGAGGTGGATGTCTGGTTCCTATCATCACCACTGTGAACAGTTATGACTCTTTGAGTTTCTCCAGAACAGAGCATTTTACACCAGACCACTCTGAATGACTGGTGACGGAATGATTGGTGGAATTCCCCTTTCATAAGTTAATAAGTTAGCATTTATAAGGTTAATGAGTGAATTGAAGCTTCCACTATGTTAAAAGAATGTCTTATAATCCTGACAGGGTTTGTTTTAACTGGACCATTTTAGATTATCGCTTAAAATTACACCTTACAGAATATTAGAACCAATGCAGAAGCCACATTTACAGACAGAAAATGTGGCTTTATTTTGCATTTGTATGTATAAATGTTATTTTACTGCACTCAGCAAATGATATACACTGCAGTTATTTATCAATAATACAAAAAACTAAACATCAATATTTTTGTGTGCATTAATAGTGTTATACAGATATGGACGATCTATCGGCCTGCACTAATCGCCTATATTTTTAAGAATAAAAGTCCTGCCCCCTCTAAAGCTGAATTTAGTTGCATTAATGCAGTGTATCTTACTGTTACTATCTGCCTGTGCATAAACTGTGAAGAGCTGTGGAAACTGAGATACTTTAACATAGTTAATTACTGCTTTAATTACTGCATATCACACTCATGTATGTGTGCTTTGTAGGTACTTGCGTGTCTGCACTGATGCTGTTCTGCTTTATTCATATTTTATATGAAAATATCCACTCAGTGTATTAGCGTAGCCTACAACGGGATGAGAATGAGGTATTCTCTCTGTTTGTGTGTCAAATTTTGTTATACTTTTGTTGCTGTCACAATTTGAGAATGAGCAGTTTGTATTTCTTTTGCACATTATTAGCATTTTTTTTAATGAATGGATGAATGAATATATGACAAATAATATTACGTCATAATATCTAGCATGACCTCATATGACATGCTTTTTATTGCATGTCAGAGTACGTGATTACATCAAATACATTTATTTTATCGCTTTTATGTTTGTTTTATTGTTTTTTTTTACTTGCTTGCAAAATTTGAGCCACATATAAGATTACATTTTGGATCCAGATCTGATGATAGCCAAAGCGTACAATCTGTACCTTTCATAATGTGTAAATATTTTGAATGAAACAGGTCCTTTTTCAGTGTAACACTTTTAATTTGCCTTTATGAATGTAAGCTTTTCTAACAGTCAGGGTGTTGTCGGTGTGCTGTGATACGTTTTACTGTTTTTGTCCCATTTCTTGTCCCATTTTGAGGGTGGACGGAGATGAAAAGGTCAGATTTTAAGTGCATTTTGTTTCTATAAGTTCTGGCCTTATTGGTTTATTATCTGTGTGTGGTTTAAGTCAATCAGAATAATATTAGGAGTATCGTTAGTGCTGTAGCTTTTTTATTATTTCTATATTCAATTTTGCCATTTTTAAAGCAGAATCTTAACTGTAGATTCACCCCTAAGGGGATAAATGAAACAAACCACTTATTATTAAATACGGTGTTGAAAGAGCGTTATTATATCTGGCTGTCAGACAGCTTAATCATAGCACTCAGCTATTACCCCACTAACTACAATTTTCTCGAATGTGGGATTCCAGTTTAGAGTTCTAAATATTTCTTTCCCTTGATTTGTCTCTACACTCAGTAGAACATAACATAGTTATCACTGTTATTAAGGCCTAATGAAACTTTTGATTATTTGACCAATTTGAATTGAATGTTACTTTTGTGACTGAAATGTTCTCCATTGGTTGTAATATATGGTCCCCTTTTTTGTTAATGTTTAATAGGAAAAATAATAATAATAATAATAAAAAATACAACTTGAAGGTGGATGTGATTGACGTTAGAGTCCTACTTTATGTTTAATTTATATATATTTTTGCGTATACCCCCAGTCAGAGTACATGTTTTGTTGGTTTTCAAAGCAAAAAACACACATTCTCTACATGGAACAAAAATATTGCATTTTCCTCCAGATATTAGCGCACACTTTCTGTTTACTTGCTAAGTTTAACATATTAGAAAAGAATCCAAAATTTTAAGCTTTTGCACCAGCCACAATTTAATGCTTTATTTTTTCCACCAGTATGTTAAATTCAGTAAATAAACAGTAATTGCGCAAATCAGATCTAGCTTTATTGGTCACACACATAGCCATACATAGTATAACATGCAGTGAAATGCTAATATGTCTGTTGCCATAGAAAACAGATATACAATAGAAAAATGTTAGAATATAAAAAAGGAAGAAGAATATAAAATATAAAAAATAAGAATATAATACGCGTATATGTAAAAGTATATGTGTATGTAAAGTGCAGATGTGTGCATATGTCTGCAAATGAGCAGGCAGGAGGTAGTAGAATGAAAGGGGTTAATAAATATTAATAAATATTAAAAGATAAAAAGTGCACAAGGGTTTGTTCACTTATATACACTACAACATTAAACATGTAATATATACATTTTAAAAAGACATTATATATGTAGACATTATATATCTATACACATATGTAGACATTATATATCTATACACACACACACACACACACACACACACATTTTCTAAACCGCTTATCCTTCTGGGTCGCAGGGGGGTGCTGGGGCCTAAGCCATTGGTCAATGGGCGGAGGGCAGGATACACTCTGGACAGGTCACGCATCCATAGCAGGACAGGCGATCATACAAATTAATTTAATAACCATACTGAACATTTTCTACATAAACTGTAAAAGGCTACATCTGACCCTGCCCAATTAGGGTCCTGCAACTCTAAGAGGAGCGATGGACGCTAGTCGTATAAAGGGGGAAAGGGAGTCTTCACTTTGAGTTTGGCCCCTGTGACCAACAGTTCTGCTCAAAGCTCTCCCCTCAGAGTTACCCATAGCCCTATTGTAAAGGTATTTATTCTTAACTTACTGACACTTGTAGGACTATATTTGAATCTAATATCTACTTCTTGACTGGCCTGATGCATAATTATATTTCAATTTCTGTTTTACCAGAACCAATATTCTCCCCTCATGGTGATTCCCAAAACTCTTGAATTAAAATTAAATTATACAAAGAAATTAAAAGTATCTACTACTCCAGTTAGTCCACATCATTCATCTTAGCTCAAATGTATTATTACATAACTTCCAAACTCCAATGATTTAGAAATAGAAGCTAGGTGAGATGTTAATGTGCACATCATTCTTTACTACATTACTAAAACTAATTTCCCCCTGCTATTGTTAGATATTAATTTTCCTGTTTGTTCTAACATCAGACCATCAGTGGTCCTTACCAATCTTTATCTGTTTTACAGATCTGAACCAGATCAGCTATGCTGAGGCTAATGCTATTGTCAAATCTACAGTATGAGCTAATGTTCAACTTGATGATTAAAAGAAATCAAAACTTTACTCATTAATATAAACTTGACAGTTTTGTGATGAGCTCATCCCAAATCTTCACTGTAGAGACGGTCAGCAGTTTGCTGATGCTATCCTGAATGTTGAAACAAAATCAAACATCTGTAATAAACAGTAGTTGTGTCTGAACATAATCTCATCAGTTAAGGATATTTGTTCTTAACGGTTCCACCACAGGCATGAACAGCTAAGGGAAACAGCTGATTTGCTTGACCAATTTGTAACATGTCATTGTAATATGGCATTCAGCAGACCCAGCGCGACTTACAATTTGATCATTTTTACACAGGCAGATGAAAGTAGCTTTAAAAGTCTTGCCCAAGGACTCTTATCGGTATAGTGAAGGGTGCTCACCCAGTCAGGAATTGAACCCCAGTCTACAGCTTAGAAGGCAGAGGTGTTAGCCACTACACCAGAGCAACCACAACATAATATGACATAGTTTATCACAATAACACTAAATATTGTCATAATACCCACCCCATTCAGCAAACACAGGAATGTA